ATAACTGAAAGACAACATTCATTCCGAGATTATGTTTTCTACATGGTACTTTGTAGTAAGCTTTCCCCCTTACCTTCCTAGCTTCTGAAGGCTTGTCCCATCCTGTTCAGAGCTCTTATTTTGCCAGAAATAAGTTTGGGCCTAAGATGTTCTTCAAACCACAGTTTCCACTGAGCATCTGTGTTGCTATGCAATCAGGGGAATAAACAAGTCTAATACCTATTATCCTCCTATTTCTGTCAATAATAAAAAGACCATCACATCTCAGCTGACAATCATGGCAAGCATATTTTTTTTCATCCCTCATCTGATTATCTGCACCAAACTACTATTGCTGAAAACTCTTTTCTTCAGTTGTCTTCAGTTCTTCTACCCGCATATTCTGGTGAGTTTCTCTCACAACTAGGCCTGTCTTTTGATCCCCGAGACAAAAAAATCTGAATTTAGTAATTTTCTCTTAAAATTGTTACTATGGGCGCTTATGTTATTAAGACCCTTCTCTAAACTTGTAACATTTCCCCTTTTTTTCCATGAACTTTTCACAAAACCCATAAAGGAATTCCCATTTTTCCTCAAGTTAAAACACTAACAAGAACCTGCTGCCTCATTGTAGAATAATGTCCTCTCAGTCCAGGTGAGCTGGGTTGGCTAAGTCCCCACAATGAGTGTGTATTCCAGTACTCATTCTACATATTGCCATCATACAGTTTTTGTTATCCCTTGAGCAGAGGAAAATACATAAAACCAGAGGCCAGAAGAACATCATCACAAAAGGGAGGCAAGAGTTAAACAGGAAGACATCACTAGGTCTACCGGCCATTGAAAACCATTGCAAACACCATTCCTTCAATTGAAAACCAGAACAAGACCCTTATTTCTCACTCACTATTTACAGTCTCACTTCCAAGATTATTTTTCTCAGCAATGTTTTGAATAAAACTGGTTTGTTTGTATCTTTCTTCAAGCTTTCAGTACTACTGTACATGTGGACTGGGCCTCTCCTGATGGAAAATAATCTAACTTGTTACCTTTGATTTCTAGAGAAATGAACACACTCTGAGATCCAAGAACAAAACTGTTGTTTACAGAACTTGCAGTGGACAGAATCCATAGACAATTAAAATGACGTACTGATTTTAGTGGCAAAATTCAGTGTCCATACCCTAGCCTAGTTTAATGTCCAAAGTAAACAAGAAAGACTTGGGTTCAATTAAAATAATTCAGAAAGAAAACTATTAATAGTCCCTGATGAACCAGAGGGTAGAATTCACCTTGCTTTAATTTTCTCCAGTTCAGAATTTAGGCTGGTCACTCATGCTTCACCATTTGGTGTAAAGAGATGTGAGGTGCACCTCTTGTTAGCAACTACAAATGAAATTCACATTTCAAGCTCAAGTCTGTCATCTTGGGAAGTAGACTAAAGAAGGGGGCAGTGCTAAGGTACAAAACACACAATTCTTTTGTGTTCTTGTCTGTCTACTTGACACATGATTCTTACCAGTACCATGTGTCAGTAGAAACAATAAAACCTTAGTTATTGAAAGTCCTGCACACAAACCGGCCTGCTTGCCAGAAGGCAAAATGTATTAACTTGACATATTTCACAAGATGTGTAGACAACATTTAGTACCTGAGATGCAAAGGTGGCAGCAGAGGTTCAGGATGAAACCCAGGCTATCACAGAATGGGTCAAGTTGGAAGGGACCGCAGTGGGTTACAGATCTCACCTCCCTGATCAAGCAGGCTTATCCTAGGGCACATTTTACAGGATTGCAACCAGATGGTTTTCAAGTATCCCCAGTGAGGGAGACTCCACAACCTCTCTGATCAGTCTGTTCCAGTGCCTGGTCACCTGCACATTAACAAAACTCATCCTTATATTTAGGTGGAACTTCCTGTGCAACAGTCTCTGCCCATTTCCTTTCATCCTATTGCTCACCACCATCAGGAAGAACCTGGCTCCAACCTTTTGGCAGCATCCCTTCAATACTTATGGACAGTAATGAGGTCCTCTCTTAGATCTCTCTTCTCCAGGCTAAACAGCCCCAGATATAGAGAGATACAAGAGAGAAACTATAGAAGATTTGAGTCCAGATCAGCTGTAAAAAAATATTTTGGGGAAGAGAGAAGTCTTTTATACTAACATTCCAAAACACTACTGAAACTGTGCATGATATTTTTACCAGAAACTAACATAATGCCAACAAACTTTCCTAACACTTCTAGAATACTAAGTAAACAGCAAGATTTCTAGACACTTGATGAGAAATGGCTATCTGCACCTACTTCCTCACTAAAAGGAGAACTACTGACTGCTGTTGGAGCCAAGACTTAGCCAGAAGTGCAGTACAGCAGTCAAGATGACACTGTTTGGGATCCATGCTTCCCCTGACATCTCAATGATTTACCTTACACATCCTTACCTTAGAACTCATGAATACACCTTGCTGAACAAAGCAAGCACCTGAGGCAGCAAGCACTCTGCACTGTATTAATGGGAACACAAACAACAGATTACAGGGAGTGACAATCTCCCTTTACTTGACACTTACTAGACCACAGATACAATACTGCAACCACTTTGGGGCCCAAAACAAGAAAAAATATGGACAAATTCCAGTGCATTCAGACAGTCATGGGGCAAGAGTAGTTGCCTTGTGAAAAGCAGCTCAGGAAGCAGCCTTTTCAGCTTGAGAAGAGGTGGCTTTCGATTGACCTAATTAATAGCAGTCTTCCCATACCTGTGGTTATCCAAGAAACACAGCCAGGATCTTCACAGCAGTGCATGTCAGAGTTGAAAAGGAATAGGTATAAACCAAAATAAGAGCGGCCCCAATTTGATTCAAGGAAAAGGGTTCTCATGATACAGGCAAAAATTGAAGCAAGATGCCCAGAGGCGTTGTGTAGTCTCTATCCCTATAAGTTTTCAAGACAACATTGGATAAAACACTGAGCAACCTTGTCTGGCCACATAAACAACCTTGCCTTGAGTAAGGAGGCTGGATGAGTGACTCCCCAGGTCCCTTCCAACCTGAATTTTGCTGTGATAAAAGTTGTGGGCTGCATCAGGCTAGACAAAATGAGGGGAGAGAAAGAAGCTAAAGGGACTTGCAAGTACTCTGGTATTATTTTATAGCACATATTTTTCAAATCGCAGCATTGTTCTAGTACAGCTAACTCTTACACAGCTGAAGCCTGGCGCAGGTGAGGTGATCTCCCTTTCATTTAACAGCAACCCAGAGCACTGGAAAAAAAGCAATTCTTGAGAGAAAGGATGAGAAAAAGCAATTCTACGTGACCAAGAACTTCTGTCAGAATGTCAGCAATACAATGGTAACTCTGGCTGTTAGTAAACGTCATGAGCAATTACAGACAAAACACTGCAGGGAAAGGTGGTTATGTAGGTAATTCCAAAGAAGAAGAGGTGTCTTGTAAGACAGAGAAATCAGGAGTGACAGAGATATTGAATATGTTTTCTCAAGATGTTAAGAGTGAATAGCTGACACACTTAAAGAAATCACAGTGGCCAAGAATCTTAATGTAAAGGCCATTCTTCAACAACACCGTAATGGGAAATCAATAGGACATGATATTATCCTGGTACAGTCTGTCCTTCTTTAACATTAATTGGAAGTGGGGAAAAGAGAGCTGTATCTGACATGGTCCATAAAATGTAATTAAACCTTTGCAGTGAAAAAGAGCAGAAAATTCTGGATAGCTACAGATTCTGGGTTAAGACTAGTGATTTACTACTGCCTGAATAGTTCAATTTCTAAAGAAAAAAGGTATTAAACATCCTTTTTAAAGAGACAGAATGAAAAGGGTATTACATTTGCTAACTCAATGACATGACTGGGTCCATCCATTTCCCCTGTCTCTTACTCAATTATCTATGTAATACTTACCCCTTCTGTCAGAATACTGCAAAAAAATCTATGAAAGATGAGAAAACAAAAGGCAGCATTAGTTCATGTAGAAAATGTGTTCTCTTACAGCACATGCTCTCTGCTTAAGCAGTTCATGCGACTTAAAACGTCATTCAAGTTTCACATTCAATTCTACTTAAATCAAAAGGCTTATTAAAATTATTTGACCAGGTTCAAGTTCAAGGAACTTTTTAGAGTGTGAGAAACATACAAGACTTGAATAGGAATAGAAAACTGCATTGCTCCAAAAAATGAAACGACAAAAACCACAGTGAAATGTAGAGTCTTTTCTTCTACCAACAGTATTAATAGCACTCATGATTACACAGACAAATAATTTGGCTAATCCATTTACAGAGTGAAAGTGTACCAGAGCTAGAAGCAGAAGGCAAATGCCACAAGGTCTCTTATTTCACTCCATGACACTCCCATGACTGTAACTTTGTGCCTGTACCTACACTTGCACATTCACAATATGGATCAGGCAGTCATAGAACCTCATTTCCCTGAAGTTCTCTAAGAACAAACACAACTCTGTAAACAAGAGAAGCAGAAACGGGCAAAACCTGTGGTTAACATGAGCAGTCAGATGAAAGTACTTTTCAAGAGGAAACTTCCTTTAAAATAGTTGGGTTACTATTGGGAGTTATGAGTGTACAGAAAGACTTGGAGGAATGTTGGTAGGATGGGACCTTTGAAGGTCACTTAGCCCAGCCTCCCACTCAGAGCAGGGCTAAAGCCAATGCTAGATGACACTTCCCAAGGGAAGAGGCTGTGCTCAGCAGAACAGTGGGTGGCAGAGACAGCAGGACGTCTGGTGCAAACCAGACCTTGCTTGTGCCCTCTACTCTCTGAAGGCACCTACATTTCATGTTAAACATCAGCCAAGGAAAGCATGAACTGACATGGTAAGCCTTTCTAAAGGATAAAAAGGAGACAGTAAATAACTGCAGTAAATAACACACTCCAACATTTCTACACTGAATGACAGGAGAAAATGAGCAACAGAAAACTCTAATCACACGTATGAAGTCACCAAGAAAAGGTATAAGGAGTAGATGACATGACACATACCAACAACATGACACGCTTTCTTCTGTGATGGAGCGAAGCTCTGTACAGTATTCCAGTGGTCCCAAAACAAACTCATGAACAAGCTCAAAGAAACTTGCTTGCAAAGCTGATGGCAGAAAACCACGCTAATTTGGAAAGTGAGGAGCAAACAGGCTGCAAGAACCCAAGGAAAATGAAGTGTGACGCACATATCAAGTAGTCAATATTTGTCAGCAGTCAGGTGCAGGTTTAAAAACATTAGCAATGCATGGAAAGGCCATTTTTTGTTTTGCTTAACATGTAACCTCTTTGAAAACTCAGGTTTTGAGACAGACAGTAAAAGAGACATCTGTTCTGTTTAGCATTTATTTAACCATGGCAGGAGAAAGCTGTTCTACACTTAGAACAGAGTACATGACACAAGACATTACACAAGACATGTTAGTGTTCATATGACTTTGACAGCTATGATTGAGCAAGGACAGGAGATGAGTGCCAGTGAAAGATAAATATACTGTACAGACAGTCTAAGTTTTTAAGACTTCTCCTAAGAGGAGGGAAGAAGAATGATGAAAAATTACCCATGTTTTGTTCAGAGATGTGAAATTTAAAGCCTCTCTTAATGGCTTCTGTCACACAATGAACAACTTTAATTGTCAAGAAATTGCTTTTCCAGGTTGACTGCCCGCTTAAGCTAGAGAGTATATAAAACAAGGCCACTCCTCACAGAGTTTTACATGAAACAACTTGGTCATGGAGATATTTACAGTTGTGCCACTGTATGTTCAACTTTACAGAAGTTGCTACTGTGATATTTTCAAAGCAGGGCAAAAATTACAGAAGCAGCAAATTAAAAAATACCTGAAGCAAAAAATGAGGAAGTTAATTGCCTGGAATTAATACAGATATGACTAAATGAACCTTAACCCAAACCCAAAAGACTTACATAACTCTATAATGGAAAAGAAAACAGAACAGCTGGGGGACAAAAGTATAGCAAAATGAAAAGCCAAGGTGGATTAAAAAAAAAAAAAAAAAAACACCCCCCCCCCCCCCCACATAACAGACATATAAGAAATGCAGAAATAAAAAAGAAAGTAGATTGATGGTGCTTAGAAATGA